CCACTACAGGAATGTGAGTATACTATGTATATTATATTCTATAAATTGTGGATTAGTTGAAACATGTCGACCAAAAAATTAACTTTCCACCGATGGAAACCACTGAATACACTCAGAGATGTCCATGTAGTCACTATATGCACCGACCTTCTTGCAGGGAGACCAGGGGTGGCATGTGATCTGGAATGTAATCCTTCCTTTCCTCTGCATCTCGGGCTCCAGGCTGGGGAAACTGCAGGACGTTGTTTTTGCTGACAGGGAAAAGCGGAGTTTGTTGGGCGAAGGCCACCGGCTCCAGGTTGTGGACGTAGTCCTCCAGTTCACTCAGGCTCACCCCCAGGAGTCTGAAGGCCTGGCTGACATCATCCAGCACTGGATCCGTTCTTCCATCTGAAACGCAGCATCACAACAAGTCCTTTAAACCTTGACGCGCATACTGTACAAGCCTCATAACTACTAAATTATACTGTTAGGGTTGCTAACGTTTGCTTGTGATTGTGCTGCACACACAAGGATGTATGCCGATTGATTCCACTTGAAGCTAGAAGTAATGTTCAACAGGTCCCAGATGCATGAAGTGAATATGTTTACAATAAACAGTGCTGAGTTATCTAAGCTAACGCATCGACTAACACAGTGTTGTGACCACAGCTGGAAGGCATCAGAGCCACAATAACAACAACCCATGGAAGCTACCTAGCCATGTACTTTTTTGACACATCAACCTTTGCTAGGGGGCGCCAGCTTCAGACAGTTAACAACAACGTGATCGACTACTTCCAAGTGTAAGGGTTAAAAAAAGTAATCGGGATACTTAAACGAAGCACTCACAGAGCTCGGAGTACCGATGGCAGACCCTGGCCAACTGCTGGATGTACCGATGCAGCACATCGGACAGCTGATCGCACGCAGTGAGCTGAATCGCATCCCAGCCCAGAGCCTGGCAGATCTGCGCCACCGAAACACGCAGCAGCGAGCGGGCATAGCTCTCGCACATCTCGCTGACTTCGTTACGGTATAAATCCCGGTCAGTTCCTCTTCAAAAACATGGTCCCGGCCTTCATGTTTCACGGAAACCCCTCGGGGGCTTGAGAAAACCCGCTACCGCGGTTAATTTTGGACATCTACTTCAGTAAATATATTGGCGCTTTCGCCAGAGTCGCCATCTTGATTCCATCGATAGACCCATCCCCAAAATCCAGATTGCACATGCGCACAAATCGGCGAATCCCTACACAGCTCTGCTGTGTTCGAGCGGATCATCAACCGCTGAAGATGCGCAGCAGCTCCGTTTTGACGACTTAGTAGCGTTAGTTCAAATAAATATCTAGTTAATATATAACACCGAGTGCGGCAGTTAGTTGAGCCTTTTAATGTGTATTGTAGTCATGTCTAAGAGTGATTTGAGTTACCGGAGATTTGCTCGGGAATCGTTTTAAACCGTGTTTTTAACGTACAGCACACACCGATGACTAGTTCTGGTTTCCGCTTCACATCCGCTGTGTCACTCCACTAAAGTGGAGAAAATGCCGTCAACGGTTCCTGGTTCAGACTGACTAACTTTATTTATGTGGCGGCAATTAAGTTTAAACTGTTTAGTCATGGAAGTTGTGTAATTTTGTTACTCTTAATTAAAACATACGATCTATTTTTTGATAAAATCTTTGAATAAGAACGGCGAGAGAGTGGGTCCAATTTCATTTCCTGTTGAGTTTTAGAACATCAAGTAGGAAAGGACTTGGTAAACTGTTGAGCTTCTTGTATTTTTAATGGTTTTATTTAGCGTATCATGATGATTGCAGACGACTTCACTGTTTGATTGGTAGTTAACCTGCCTACTGCATGGTTCCTTGTAGAAGTTGAGTAGAGGAACATTCAGTATGTGTGTAAAATATATCTTAACGATTTGGGGAAATATGACGGATACCAAAAAAAGGACCTCTTTCTCATTTGTTTTCAATAACATCCCAAATCGTACTATTTTGGGTCAATTTTTAACTGTTTTATTTGGTTAGGATAAATACTGATCATCCGTTTGATCCACTTTAGTGTTCATTTTGACTACTTTGCATCCACTGTATATTTGTTTTAATGGTGCCTGTTATGGTGTGTATTGTTATTATTGTGGTTGTTACATTTAATTCTTAATTATAATGAGATCAGTCGTGTGTGTGAGTGAGTGTGCATCTCTGTGTCTGTCCACATTTAATTTAGCACACTGCTTCACCAAACTGCCCAATATTTTTGGGTGGTCATTTATGGCTTCATGCTCAAGGACCTCTCATGGTTTGAAGTGACTCATACTTCCTCAAAACACCTTTTATTGCATGTTTGATACTGCTGACTCCTCCCTAATTACTCTTCACATAGCTGTGCACTGTTCACACGTAAGGAACCCTTGCCAGCGTCTCTCACATCTCCAAAAACAGTTTGCAGCAAATTTCAAGTGTTATTTGGATAAACTGACTACAAATTGGGAATTCAAGCGGCTACCTTCTCTTATGAAAATATATTAAAACATAATAAAGTGACGTATTAATAGCTTTTAAACTGGCTGAAAATCTAAAGGCACCCAGATGCAATGCATTGTGGGGCAGTTGTGTATGCGAGTATACATCCGGGCATTTCTCATGTACACAAAACCCACATACTATGCAGTCTGAACGCAAAACATATTCAATTTTACATCATATTTGGTAAAAATAGTATGTTAGAATGCGCTTTTGAGCACAACCACAGAAGGAGGAAACAGTTTGCTCACTTTGTTTTTGGATATGTTAGGACGGTATGCAGCCCACGGACTTCAGTCACCTCGCCCGGACCAGGGAAACCGGGGCACCCTCCCGGAGCCAGACCCAGGAGAGGAGCTCGTCGGTGAGCGTCTGGTGGCCGGGCCTTCGCCCATGGGGCCCGGTCGGGCTCAGCCCGAATGAACAGCATGGAGCAGCCACCCTGTGGACCCACCACCCGCAGGGATAAGCATCAGGGTCGGGTGCAATGCAGACCGGGCGGCGGGTCAGGCGGGAGGCCTGGGCGAGCCGATCGCCGGCAGTATAGACTAGCTCTAGGGACGTGGAACGTCACCTCGCTAGCGGGGAAAGAGCCAGAGCTGGTGCAGGAGGTGGAGCGGTACCAGCTAGATACAGTTGGACTCACCTCCACACACAGCGCTGGCTCTGGAACCAAGCTCCTGGAGAGGGGTTGGACTTTGTCCTTTTCCGGAGTTGCCCAGGGTGAGAGGCGCCGGGCGGGAGTGGGGATACTCACGAGCCCCCAGCTGAGCGCTGCTGTGTTGGAGTTCTCCCCGGAGAACGAGAGGGTCGCCTCCATGCGCCTACGGGTTGCGGGGAGCAAGGCTCTGACTGGTTTGTGCTTATGCACCAAACAGCAGTTCAGAGTATCCGGCCTTCTTGGAGTCGGTGGGAAAGGGCGCCGCCTACTGACTCCATAGTTCTCCTGGGGGACTTCAACGCTCACGTGGGCAATGATGGAGAAACCTGGCGGGGGGTGATTGGGAGGAACGGCTTGCCCGATCTGAACCCGAATGGTGTTTTGTTATTGGACTTCTGTGCGTGCCATGGTTTGGCCATAACGAACACCATGTTCGAACATAAGGTGGCTCATAAGTGTACCTGGTACCAGAACACCTTAGGCCGGAGATCAATGATCGACTTTGTAATCGTATCATTTGATTTGCGGCCGTATGTCTTGGACACTCGGGTGAAGAGAGGAGCAGAGCTGTCAACTGATCACCACTTGGTGGTGAGTTGGATCAGATGGCAGGGGAATCGGTTGGAAAGACCCGGCAAGCCCAAACGTGTAGTGAGGGTGAACTGGGAACGTCTGGCGGAGGACCCTGTCCGGGAGGTCTTTAACTCCCACCTCCGGAAGAACTTCTCACACATCCCGAGGGAGGTTGGGGACATGGAATCCGAATGGACCATGTTCAAAGCCTCTATTGTGGACGCGGCCGCTAGGAGCTGTGGCCGGAAGGTCATCGGTGCCTGTCGTGGCGGCAACCCGAGAACCCGGTGGTGGACACCGGAGGTGAGGGAAGCCGTCAAGCTGAAGAAGGAGACCTTCAAGGCCTGGTTGGCCCAGGGGTCTCCCGAAGCAGCTGACAGGTACCGGCAGGCCAAAAGGGCTGCAGCTGCGGTGGTCGCGAATGCTAAAACTCGGGCATGGAAGGAGTTCGGGGGGTGGAGAACATCAGGTTCGGGGGTCTCGGAATCGCCTCTCTGCTGTTTGCAGATGATGTGGTCCTGTTAGCCTCCTTGGATCGTGACTAATTTCACTGGGGCGGTTTTTGCAGCCGAGTGTGAAGCGGCAGGGATGAGAGTTAGCACCTCCAAATCTGAGGCTATGATGCTCTGCCGGAAACCGGTGGATTGCTCCCTCCAGGTGGGGACGGAGTGCCTACCTCAAGCGAAGGAGTTCAAGTATCTCGGGGTCTTGTTCACGAGTGAGGGTAAGATGGAGCGGGAGATCGACAGACGGATCGGTGCGGCTGCAGCAGTAAAGCAGGCGCTGCACCGGACCGTCTTGGTGAAGAGGGAGCTGAGCCGGAAGGCAAAGCTCTCAATTTACCACTCGGTCTACGTTCCTACCCTCACCTATGGTCACGAACTCTGGGTCGTGACCGAAAGGACAAGGTCGCGGCTACAAGCGGCCGAAATGAGCTTCCTCCGTAGGGTGGCCTGGCTCAGCCTTAGAGATAGGGTAAGGAGCTCGGTCATCAGCAGGGAGCTTGGAGTCGAGCCGCTACTCCTTCGCGTCGAAAGGAGTCAGCTGAGGTGGTTCGGGCATCTAATTAGGATGCCTCCTGGACGCCTCCCACTTGAGGTTTTCCAGGCACGTCCAACTGGGAAGAGACCCCGGGGAAGACCCAGAACACGCTGGAGGGATTACATCTCCCAGCTGGCCTGGGAACACCTCAGGATCCCCCAGAATGAGCTGGAACATGTTGCCGGGGAGAGGGAAGTCTGGGTCAGCCTGCTTGGCCTGTTGCCACCGCGGCCCGACCCCGGATAAGCGGAGGAAAATGGATGGATGGAGGACGGTATACGCCTACATAGAGCCGGTGCAGAACCACTGCATAGATTACAATGACATCGTATGCGAGTGAAAAACACGTGTGATACACTTGCAGTCTACTCTTAAGACAGTTGAGGGTGATTCTATCAAACATTACAGCAATGGTGGTTGCAGACACACCCTACGGAGGTCTGCACTCAACTGACTGCACCTTTCTAATTTTATCAGTTGTACTTTATCCTTCTCATGCTATCTGCTGATCCAATTTAATGGAATCAGTTATAGCATTATGACCTTTAAGGTTTTGCAACCTTCTGTATGACGTGCTGCTGCTGTCTTGACCAGAACACTCCTGTCGAAGAGATTTGTATTCTAAGTGAGGCCCTCTTCTGGTTAAAGTTCTTACTTATGATTCTCCGTTGCGTGTTTATGAGTGTATTCATTTACCTACACACAAATCCTAAAGACAGTAAATTTGCCGTTTTGAACCGCAGGCCACTTCATCCTTCCATTCTTAACATTGTCACCTGCCTTTTTTTCCAGTTAGGATGGTCTGTGTGTAGTCAGGTGATTTGTTGTGTGTGGGTGATTATTTTTAAAGCAAAACAATTAAAGAAACATCTTTATTCTCAGTCAAATTTCTCTGTAGGGAGTCATCAAATATAAACATAGCAAATATCTTAGTAATAATGTTAAACTGTTGTGCTCCTTATTAACACTGTAGTTGAGGATAACTGTCAGCAACCTGTACAGTGTGCAGTATTATACTTAAATATATACATTATATACCATCTGAAAACAGCCTAATTTAGCTTTATTGTCAAACTGTACTTAAAACAAACACTAATGATTGTGCTGCAAATGTAAGACGCCAAGATTGTAAAGAACACAAAATATAAACTTTTAAAAAAACGATTTACAATAAAAATATATTACAAAGTGAATACAGTATATACACAGTACAACTGCCTGTATATTGGCATTTTTGTCACTCTAACCATTAACTGACTGATAACTTAGTGGACAAATGAAACAAAAGAACATGTCAAATCTTAAATCAATAATTATTGCTCCATACAATGTAGTATGTTTGAAATCACCATGAAATGATAGGTTGCAGGTTTCTCCTCACATCCAGCAGGTTTTTTATTGTTCTTGCACAGTTTGTGTGTTATCTGACTTTCTCCAGGTCAGGCTGTAAATGTTTCGCTTGGAGAACTCGTGAGGAAAGATTGGAGGGTCATCGTCAAAATTCCGTTCTTTCCAAATGCGCTGTCTGTTGTTGTATCTGTAAGAATACGAAAAACATGTCAATACTTATGTTCACTATATTTAAGAGGGTCAATGCACATTAATTGACAAGCACATCAGTCCGTCATGTAAATGGGCCAGACACCTTCAAAATAAAACCACAATATCATGAGGCTCAATGAGTGTAAAGGTACGGTTAATGTATTTGTGCGTTAGTGTCTCACCGGTAATAAAAATAGGGTAACGGGCCGATATATTCTGGACCTGCAAACGGACCAAACATGTGAGATAGTTGGGCAGGTCCCTTGACATGAGGTCACACTCGTGATAAGGCAAGACCTCCAGTATTCCAGCTTCTTGGCAAAAGTTTAGGAAGAGCTTCTTGTCTTTTGCCTCTTTACTTAACCTGGATGTGAGAAGAGACACAATGTTCAGACAGGCAACATTTTTATAAGGACAATCTGTGAAAGAGATATGAATTCAAACATAGAAGAAAATATATGGAAAAACACTGTCGTGGATGCTAAGAGGCCAGTCAGTAAAAAAAGACCAACAACACCTGTAACCTCTTATATAGGGAAGTGAGAAACAAGAGTTTTTTGTGGTTACTTTTCCAAAGTCAACCCCTACCTCGCGTTTTCTTTCAGCCGGCGGCTGTCTCTGTAGTGCATCATCCATTTCCACCTCCCCGTTCTGCTACGCTCTTGCAAGATTTCTGACATTGTTTTCATGTTGCCTTAAAATTCATAGAAAATTGATATCATGAGTTTATCATGGCTGCTTGAATGACAAAATCTAAAAGTTGGTATTCAGTAAAAAGTGCACATACAAAGGCTGAGGGGCTCCAGCGCTGCGCTGTCGAACATTATGAAGCCGCCCCTCGTGAAGAGCTCCTGATGGGTGAGGTTCACAACATCATCTGGTTCGTCAATTCCAGCAAACTGCACACCTGGTGACATCTTCAACTTGACCAAATGTGGGACCTGAGATAGCAGAAAGCAGTCAATTGGTAACTTTTATTTAAAAAAAATTACTATTTCATCATATTTGCTCAAAGTATCACTGTATCCTGATAGAAGTAGTACATGAGACAGATTATCTGGCTCCTCTGCCGCCCACTAGTGCTCAACATGGCGTTTGCAGGATTCCACCGCGCCAGAAGAAAAAAGCGCAGCGTTGATCAATATGAATTAAGGTTATTTTAGCGTATTGCCTATTTTTTGCCTCAAATGTTTTCAGAAAGATATTTTAGCGTACTCTTTAGCACTAAAATGAGAAAGTTTGCTCCGGCCGGAAGGGGGGCTTGGGTTTGGCTCGACTCTTTTAATATGATGGCCGGGTCATAAACTTTCTCCTTCTACAGTTAACAGTACAATAAAATGTTTCTGAAAACATTGGAGTCCAGAAAGGGGCGATGCAGTAACAGAATCTTGATTCATATTTGATCAGCGCTGCCTGGTTTGACTTTTTAAATCAGAATCAGCAGCTAACTGAGCCATGACCGCTGCGTTAGAGGCTCTTCGGCTCCGATTGGTTGGTTTCCTTTCAATTGCCATTAGGAGCACTAGGAGGACGCAAAGGTGCCAGACATTTTGTTCCCGTCATGTTCTTTTTCACCAGCTGATCAATTACCTCACAAATGTGCTCTGAAATGTCTTCATTCCTGAGGATGATGAGCAGAGATGAAGAACTATCCTCATCAAGGAAGAACTGGGATGGCTGTACAGCAGTGTGGCCCTCTGCCTCCAACTGTGCCTTTTTGAAAATCAAGAAAGAAATTTCCAAAATGTTAAAAGCCATTTTCCATCAGCAAGTCTTACACTGCTTTAACATTAAAATTAATCTCGTTTTGCTTTAAAATATGTTTTGATTGCAAATATGTAAACGACAATAAAATAAATGAATTAAAAACCTATTCGAATATGAATATTCGGTTGTGAAAAGAAAAGCAGCACTAACGTGGCTGTCTACCTCGTGCACTGAATGCACCACATGATAGGAGTCACACAAAATCGTAACACTGTGTCCTAACGGAAACCTTTCGGCACATAAACAAACCACATACCTATCAGCTGTCAGACTGGAGACGTAACCACTTAAAAGATGGGTGAGTTGGACATGCCATCTTCCTACATTTTTTTTTTTTTTCAACAAACCCCATTTTGTATTGTGATAATTACTGGAAATACAATATACCCAACGAGAAGTACGAAACTGGCAATCTTAGGTTCTTGTAGTGAAAATGAGGAGGTATAGTAAAGATATCTCCTCATTTTGACAGCTATTAACTAGGACCCAGCCATTCCTATTCCATTGCTGGTTTTCAAAGCAAGCAATGGGAATAAATAAAAACAGGGAATCTGACAAAGGTTCAGCTAAAACAACACGCTGCACACTATATCACTCGCAGCCAGTTAGGACATAATCCCATGGACATAATGCACAAAAATAGATGTTCAAACTAATCCAAACCATGTGTTTTTTAAGAAAGAATAGCCAGACATCATTTTTGATTTGTATAATAACCCCTTTAAAACCCTCATGGGAATAGTATTTAATGATACTCCACCCAAAATGTATCTTTCTGTTATGGAACACCCCCGCAGGCTTGAAAGAGAGCAGTGACATGTTCGTAGATGCTCCGTAATGAAGTTCAGAGGCTGTGATCAGTTTGGATTCAAAGCAGTTAGGACAAATTTCAGGCAGATTTGTATCAGACCTAAGTATGGCTGAAGGCACTTTTTTTGACAAATGTATTGTCAGTAGTTCTTTATTTATTAAAAAGGAAGAAATAAGTTTTGGGGTAAATATCAGAAATGCTTCTTTTCATCTCAGTGGGGCGTGTTGGTGTCTGTGTTTGATCAACAGACACTGGTAGGCTGGAGCCCTGGGAGGGGAACGTCAGAAAAAGTGAACTGAAAGTTCAGGCTTGGTAGGCATCCAAAAGTGTAAATGTTAACCTTATTTAATGTTTTTTTTAATAGGTCTTTATGTTCACTAAATGTGTGACAGTACTTTTGTAAGTGTAGCATTGGGCTGGCCACAGAGTAAGCTAGGACACAAGAAAGTATAGTTCTGGGATAGTGTGTGAGGACTAATACAGACGCAGTATATTAAGCCACATTTTGAGGAACTGTGGGAACATACTGATCATACAGATGAACAGCAGAGAAATCGCTTCTTCGTCAGAGGTAGACTTAAAAGATTGAATGGATGTTTCCACTGTGCAAACTTCCATCCAAGCTGACCACAACCTCTGATCTCCATTGAGGAGCAAACAAACGTGTGCTGGCACCTTCTATACAGAAGTCAAACATTGTCAACAACTACATTTTAGGTGGCATATCACTTTAGCTAGTTCAGAAATGCAAGTTGTACATGGTATATCCTTGAAGAAACATAGTCAATAGAAATACTGCATTGGAAGTGTGTTGAAAAGTCGTCTTACCTTGGTTTCCTCAAAGAAGGCATCTTCTGACATCACCAATATGTAGAATCTGTACTTTGTTTTACAGGATTTCTTCACAACTGAATTCAGATTACTGCGAAAACTTTTATCCAGCTCTCTCTTCATTTGATCACAAAAGTCAAAATGGTTCCCTGGTTCAGTCTTTGGGTAACCTATATCCATTCTGAAGTGCTTAGGTCTAGATGGGACCTTTTTGACAGCACAAACATCTTTCATCCTTGCCTTGTACAGCCTGGCACACTCTGAAGTCACACCAGAAACTCCAGCATGTTCCATTAGGTTCCCTGCTCTTTGAGAAATGTTTTGAAGACGCAAAGTCTTTTCCTCCTCTGTGGAATCTGCCAGGTCTTTCCTCTCAGACATGTCTACCTTGATTTTCTGTCCAACAAGTAACGGTGTGTCCAAATGTGTGGTCAAGTGATCCACTGAATCGTCCTGCTCCTCCAAACTGCAAAAGTGCACAGTCAAAGGACTGGTGCAAGGCAAATTCAGTTTGTCATGTGTGTCCTGCTGGCTGATGGGTCCCCTCTTAGTCCTTTTCATAAGATGTTTCATTTTTTCTGAGAAGATAAGGCACTCCTGCTCCATTGACGCCTCGGTAAGGTCATCTTGTATGCACCTCTGAGAAACCTGCTCCAGAAAAGAAGAAGATCTCTTCCGGGGGTTGTTATGGACCGTACAAGTGAGTGAGCTTTGAGGTCCCAGGGAAAGATCGTTGAAATCTGCATGTGAAGTTGATGCAACAGAGCAGTCTTTCTGAGTCATCTGAATGCTCTTTTTAGTTGTTTGCTCAATTTTAACTGAAACTTGGTTTCCACCATCGAGCTTAGGGGAACTTTTTGCAGATTCGAAAGACTGCACAGGGAGGGATGAGGGCATCTTGTTGAGTTTTGAAATGTCTTGTGACTTACTGTCACTAACATTTGATAACCAACTGCTCTTTGAAGAAACCTCACTGGCCACTTGCTTGTCAACATTTACTACTTCAGAACTTCTCTTGAGACTTTCTGTGTTTTTCACCAAGAGCATGGTAGCAGGTATGGTGTATGTAACTTTGAGGTTTTTAAACTGTTTATCTTTGGAGAAATGTGACATTACAGCGTTTTCAATTTGTCTGTTTTTAGAGATGTAATCCCCTTGACTTTCATCACTCTTAGATGGTTTCACTGCCATGATAGGACGCTGACTGTATGAACGTGGTTCATGACTTAAATTAGTTTGCGATGTTGTTGTATGTACATCCTGGTCAACATTTGGGTTAATAGCTTCCAAACTGTCAATAGTGGGAACGGATCTGTAGGTTTGACAATAATCTTGCCCTGGGGAGGTTTCCTGTATGTTATCTGTTCTTTCAAAATAGCGTTGAACTGATGAGTCAGTTTTCTGTAGCTGCAACTTAACACCAAGTACTTCCTCTAATTTAATTTTGAAAGGTGATATAAGAAAGTGACCTGTTGATTCTGTGTTCGGTTCTTGTGTGGTAGAGGCTGGCACCAAAGCTGGTGCTGTGTTGCTCATTTTCTTGTCCTTAGAGTCAATTGAGGTATGGCTTGACGCAAAGCAAGTGGTGATGTTCTTGCTTCTGGGGTTAGTGGTTTGATCAAGAGTGCGTTTCATATCAGCTTTTTCAATCTGGCTGAATTTGTCACCGAGGCTCGATTTGGAGAGGAACTTGTCTATACTTCGTAGAACTCTTAGAGTTCTTAGTTCAACATCAGGATGAGGATCAAGGTGAGGGTTGGCATCACAGTTAACTGTAGACCTGTGAGGCATCTCATCTTCAATTGATGTTGAGCCTCTGCCAAGACGTTTCTGAGTCGTGTTTTTGGAGGTTTCACTACCACTAAAGGCAGAAACACTAGTACTTCTAGGGCCAGAGGAAGTTATGTACTCATATGGTTTCTCATCCATAGTAGGGGTGGAGCATCGGTCGTCAGACTCACCTCCCAGATGGTTTGTATCACTTGCATCAATAAGTGATATTTTGCCAGCAGACAGTTCTGCCTTCTGAGTGTCCATTTGAGATGCGCTGCATACTTCTGTGGGTAAGACCGTTTCAGGGTAGGTAGTTTCACTGATGAATGGTATTTCTTCCTGGCCTTGAACAACTTTTTCAACCTTGCCTTGTGAGTGTGAATCATGTGGTCGTACTTTACCCTCCCCAGAGGTGTCTATTCCAATAAATGGAATTACAACCTCACTATGGATCTTTTCCAATGCCTCAATTGTTTTGTCGTTCCGTTTGAGATCTGTTTCTTTAGTGAGTTCCACTTCAGCTTCGCACTGAGGGGAATGAGTCTGATGATGAAATAGTTCTTTTTCAGTTGTGTTATCAACTTTTTGCTCTCCCTTAATTGCTTTGGTATCCCAATCTTCATGATCATCACTACTCTGATGGAAGTTTACCATTACTTTGTTTTGGCTTCCTGTTTCAACACTGTCATTTGTCTGGGGAATAGGCTCATCTTTGCACTTGTCGTCAGACATGGATAATGCTAGCTTCTGATAATGTACCATATCTGTCAAACAAATATAATTTTCTGAACTTTTCTCAACAGCAGGTTCATCAGAAAAAGGATCCATTTCTGATGGAGCATGAGTACACTTTTCTGAAATGGCAGGTTCATCTGTCAACACACTGCCATTTGCACACAGCTTTCTCAACTGCAAATCATGGCAGGGATCTTCTTTGTTGTCAGCTTGAGATGGTTGCTCATCCAATGGTGGTTCTGGATTACTCTCTGTGACGCAATCTGTCTTTACAGAGTTTGGGCTATCACATATAGGTACTGGGTGATCACTTAATTCACTGTCAGTGTCCACAGGTGAAATCCAACCGTCTTTCTCATCAAGTCCGTCTTCTTTTCCAATGTGATCTTCATCTTCCATCTCTTTACCTTCGTGCACTGAACAACAATCCACATCTTCATTCACATTTTCAGCCTTGCTAGGTGAAACTGCTTTCGGCTCCTCTGGAGGCAACTGCTTCTCATTTTCCAAACCATTTCCATTGCACACTATACCCAATTCTTCGTTTGTTGGATCCTCATTTGTATGACTCCCTTTTGGAGAAGGTTCTACATTGCCTTCTTGGTATGGCTTTTCTTTCACTTTCCAGTTTTCCCCATCTTTGGTTTCAGTTTCATCATGCTCAACTGTATGAAGCGCATCACCTGCTTCTCTGTTGGAGTCTACCTCTTCGTCTGTCACAGATTTGGATGAATCCATTCCATGTTTTTGGACTGAACTCATCTCTGTAGCTTCTGAATTTTCTATTCCATCCTTTATATCCGTCTTCTTATTGTTGCATCCATGTAACACGGGGCTAATTCCTGAAGCCGTTTGATTATTTTCTGGCTGAACGGATACTCTTTCCATTTCTTCTCGTACAGAAATGGTTGTTCCATCACCTTTACAACATGGTACATTGGTGTGCTCCAGACTCCCAGCATTTTGCAACGGGGTACAAGTCCTCTTATTTTCATCGGAACTTCTGACATCATTCATCTCATTAATGATCTCTCTGGAGTGTACCATCTTTTTGGAACGCTGGAAGCATAAAAATAAAACGGAATAAGAATTATATCAAGTACAAATATCTTTTGTTCACTAAAAAACCATGACTGGTGTTTCTCTCAGGGATTTTTTTAAGATTTCAACAATGAATACTGTAAATCACAATTAGAAAGGTAACCACAAATGCATTGTATTAATTTCGATATTAGAGGTATACTTCACCATTAAAATGATCATTTGATATACAAGTGGCAAATTTATGGTGAAGAAGTCCTTTAAGAAGATAGTTGCTGCCTGACATGCGGGTGCATCAGTCATAAACAAAGTACCATTTTGGCATTAAATTTCCCTGATTTTCTGTCCCCTTATCCATTTTATGCCCACCAATCGCACAGAGCCATAATACAATAAATAGGATGTTTGAAGGCATCCCCTGTCAGTTGGTTAAATCCCTATAGCAATCATACACTACATCAGCAACATGGTATGCACAGTCCATATGGTAAATGTGTGCATCACCAGAGGGCGGTACGAGACGGACATGTTAAGACACTGCTACTGCAAACCATTGGGTGCTTTAGAAGGTGGGATGGACATCCATTAGACTGCCCATTAGGGAGGGTTAAAGGAAGATGTGATTGGCCATCTCTGAAGCTCACCCTTAGGTCAACTGCAGATAATCTATTTCTGCTCTACCAGGAGTATGCATTGATGATTGAGGGGTTTGCATGGGAGCTGTGTTATCATGGACAATAGTTCTTGGTAGGCTCTCCCATTGCCAATTGATCAATGTCTATAGGCCATAAAAGGAGTGGTATGAACCCCCTTATGAGAAGTCCAAAACGGGACATAGCCACCTTATCCGGAATATGGAAAATGGGGCTGCTTCTTGAAGCCAAGCCTGGGAGGGAAGTTTTTACAGGACAGCCTTTCAGCTGGGCCTGGCCCAATGCAACTTTGCCAGCCTGAGCCCAAAAAAAAGGCAGGGCCTTTTCTGTTCAGGGGCCACCAACCACAAGGAAAGGAATGGTCTAGAACACTGTTAGTTTGGGCAACAGACAAAGGTGAAGTCCTTGTCTAGTTGATCACTAACCACTGAAATCAGCAATCAGTATGTAGAATTTCACCTTTAATGGACTATACGCAGTTGGGCACATTTCTCAGCTCCTGGATAGAAGCTGGACTCTCCTTGTCTGGAGTTGTCCAGGGTGCTGGCCTTGTGGATGTGAGGATACTCAACATCCTGGTTGTATGCTGATGTGTTGGAGTATCCCCCCCAGAGAATAAAAGGATAGCCCCCTTTTTGTTTGTTCTTATGTGCCAAATAGCATTTCATAGTGTTTATATCAGATGGTGGAACAGTAGAACCTGGTAGATTGACAGAATAAACCTAAAAGGAGTAGTGAATTGAACTCTGGAAGTCTTTCAGGGACTCAAGATTTGTCAGCATCCCAAGGGACATGATGTCTGAGAGAGCCCTGTTCAAAGTCTCCATTGCAGAGACAACTGTTAAGAGCTATGGACAAAATGTCTGAGCGGATTTTGCAGAGGGAGCTTGTGACTGTCATTCAGATGCCATAGCACTCTGACAGAAAAACAGTGGATTTTCCAATCCATCTGACCCTAATATCTTCAATAGTTCTCTATTGGTAGTCCCTTAATTATGTAAATTATTGTATGTTTATTACTGCATGGCAAGCAAACTAATCTGATCATTTATTGATCTATATCGTAAATACCATCTCAAAATCATGACAAAAACAAATGCATAATAGTTTGTCTTTAATGTAACATTAACATTAGAACCCAACCTGTTTTGCAATTGCCTCCTGTGGTCCCACGGATGACTCAAGTGCGTTTAATGTTTCACTTGCTTCTTTCCGATCAATGGACACAGAAGTCTCCTTTTTGTTGACTTGTGGATCTGGACTGACAATCTCGGCATTGGAGTTTCTCAGTGACAAGTCCAAAATCCCAGATCCTTCGTCCAACATAGAGTCATCTTTTTTGCTGAAGTCCAAAGCTTTTGAAATCAAAGTGTCTGTAATACTCGGGAAAGGAGCAAATGAATTGGCCTTGAGCTCAGACTGAGCTGGAGCATAAACCATTCCACTGGACACCTCCAAAGAATCACTCTCTTCTGAACATGGGTATGAGTCAACATGAAAGAACCTGTCTGTTGACCGGCTGTAGAACAGACCTATCCACATGTGGACGATGAGCCGCACTTCTTCATTGGTGTCTTGCAGGGAGAAATCCCATGGGCTATCGAAGATGTGAAATGCACAAAAATTAGCTCTTTCAGTTGAATCACATCTGAACTAAAAGTCCACTTTACCACATATTTACCATTTTTGTCAACTAGATACAAACGTATAACACTTAAATTATGTGAAGTCTAAAGATACATTTTTTACTATTACGTTATATTTCCTGTATAAATAAGGAATACAATGTACATACCCATGTAAGGCTCGGATGATGGTTCTATCCTTTGAGTCATTTGTAAACTTGCTGTCTACATTAAAGTCATAGTCTTCTTTCCATTGCTTTGTGACTTGGATAGATCCATCTTTGTTAACAAAGGTGCGGGACTGTCTGAACTTTCTTCTTCGCACCATGTGTTTTTTCAGGTATTCTGGAGTCCTGTAGTTTTGTTCACTACTGTCTTCCTGGCCAACAGAGGGGTGTAGTGTTTTAATTCCATTGCCATACATTGTCTGGTGATGGCGCAGCAGTCTGGTAGAACCACTTAAAGGGGATACCGGGAAAGGTGTACCTGGCAAACCCAACAGTAGAGAGGAAGACGGGGGCAATGAGTAAGCATGTTCTTTAGATACCAAACCAACCCATTCACTGCCTTCCACAAGAGGGTTTGGTGAAGTAGACTCAAGAGGCTGCATGGATCTAGCAGCAGGCTGTCTAAGCAGAGAATGAAGAACTGACTCTTGCTCAGGACTGGTAAGATCTTTCGAAAGGTCACAGTTCTTCAAACTTGTCTCAGTTTTTCTCTCAAGTGCTGGGTCAGGTTGTGGTGGAACCTGGTCATTACTGGCACTGAGTGCCAAGTCAGCAAGTAAGCTCAAAGCATCTGTAGATGAGCAAGCACTGTTAATTTTTTCCTTAACAGTCTTCCTGACAGAATTATCCCTAGTATACTCTTTGAATTTGAGTTTTTCACTGGCATAACAAGCTGGGGTTTGAAAATGCAACCACCCTGTGAAGACAAAACAGAGAGAAAAGAGTAACAGAATGAAAAAGTAGCACATTGAAAGCATTTGAAATATACTAACGTATTACTATTAGAAAACCTGTCACCAACGTGTAAACTATGTCATTGTTTCAAACAAAGGGATTGGTTTAAAAAGCCAACACCACCACATTTGGGCGCAGATGCATACGATGGACAAAATGCAGCAAAAGCAAGATAAGAGCAAAATCAAATGAAGAACTAGCAAAGACTTTGCAAAGACTTGGCAAAGCGCAGCGATAGCATGCTCAGGACAGATGCAGAGGTGACAAGAAAGATCCAAGAAAGGTGTCAGTTAGTTTTGATGTCATGCTCAATACTGAGGAGATGTTATAAATCATGCAAAAGAATCATGCAGAATTGAATAAATATGACTTACATTTCTTTTTAACATATTCTGTAGAGATGCCTTGATGCTTTTTGAGCGTTTTAATCCTTCCCCTTCGCGCAAAGATTGGTGAAGGCCTGTGTAGGATTTGAGGTTGTTTGTCTAAAATGGTTTGCTCTGGTTGAGTATCCCGACCATCAGTTTTCTGTATCTTATCTGCCGTCTCTCTAGGGGTCAGACCTAATGCATATGCAAAAATAGGGTCAACTGACAGCATCTTTGAAACTTCCTTGACACACACGTTGGTGTCCTGGACACTTGTAATTGCATAATTACTCTTCAGGTTCCCAGAGTGAGAGTCAACTTTGCCCTTCTTCAAAGAGGGATCCGTGCATTGGGCAGTATCTGCCGTTGTTTCCTTTGACACAAGGAGATCAATTTTTCTCTTTCCTCGTAGAAGAACTGATTTTAATTTACTCAACAGAAATTCACCCTTTTTGGCAATCTTTCCTGGGGAGAGGGTATCAGTGCGTTTTCCTTTAACTGCTTCTGAGGGAGGAGTTGCTGTTCCATCAGTCTTTGAAAAAAGCTCACTACTCTCTGAATTCAAAGTCAATGAACCACAGCCATCATCTGACGGTCCTAAAATACTGTGTTCAGGATTAACATCACTGACATGTTGAAGATGGTTCCTTCCATCCTTGGATGTTGTGGCCTCTGTTTCGCCCACTGCTGTCTCCGAAGTAGGACTGGACTCTTGCACCATTTTGTCCGAGTCATGAGCATTCACAGAGGTATCCACCAACATTTTTTCAGGACACTGTTCATCTTTTGTAGATTGAAATTTCTCCTTTAAAGACTTAATCTGATCAGCAAAATCTACAGAGCCATGAGGAACCAAGATTCTTCCACATTCGCTGATGATCGGCTTTAAGTCCCAGCGCTCCGTTTTCTTTCTCAGAGGACTCGCTTCAAAGTCCATAAAAATGGTGCTTTCCAAGCTCTGCTGTTCAGGGTCTGTTTTTTTCTCCTCTGGTACTGCTAATCCAACAGAAGCGGAGCTCACCTTTCCAGTTTTTGATGATAGGTGTCTAAATTTGCACTTTCGCATTTGTACTTTCCTCCGATCACTATTTGAAGGATGACCTGATGGTTTCTTTGCCTGGTATTTCTTCCGACTCAAGTTGTCATCCTCCACTGGTATTTTTAAACTGCGAGTTTTAATGCAAGCTTTAGATACCTTTTTCCGACTTTTGTAATGTCCCCTGCGTAGTTTCCTCCGTTTTGTTTTTGTGAGATTTGTGACCTCAGGGCAGTCCAAAACCTTTGTGGTTGCAACACTCTCATCATGCAGACAGTTCACTCCTTTGGCTGTTGAAAAACCAGAAAGCTGAAAGTCATTATGCTTTGTGGCAGACACAGTACTGATCATACTTAAACCCTCACCAGTGACAGTTTGCTCTGCCGAAGTGATGCTGACAATCAGCTCTGCAGGAAGGTCATCTGATATCGAAGGGGTCAGGAGATTTTTTGCCCCCGTGTCATCAGCTTTGATCAGCACACTCAGATTAGATTTGCTCATGTCTTTGGTGGCCTCTCCAGCTTGCACATCATCTGGTACAACACTTTGAGGCACAGTTTTTAAATCAACTTCTGATCCCACATTTGTTATACAAGTGTCCGCAGGTGTTTCACTGTTTACAGGAGATGTCTGGCCTGTCAACTGGTCTTCTGACTCTATGCCAACAGGTTTGACTGGTGGCCCTTCAGGAGATGATAGACAGATGTAGACATCATCATCAAAGTCTTCCATTCTCTCCTCTTGTCCAGCCGCCAGGATTTCTGAAGCCTTGGACAGTGGCAGTTGAAAAGACTCTGGTTTGCTCAGGTATGACCTGAAGCTCTGCCATGCCTTGTCGGTCCACTCCGGAGATGAGTAGAGGTGCTTGTGGGCATCTGGTACATCATACTGATCAGGAAAGATGCTGACTTCCCTCGTGGGACTTGATGCCAACCCAGGATTTATCAGTGATGCGTAAGTCTGCATATGCTGCGCCAAGACTTCACAGAGCTCTTCACTTGGGTCAATAGGTGTTTTCTCAACTTCACCCTCTGCATAACTCAGCACCGGTAGAACATGCAGGATTTCAGATGAGATGGCAAGCTTTTTCTCCCGAAATTTAGTGTCTGTGAAAAAAAAAAAAAAAAAAATCAAGAAAGTGTAACTGTTAAATCTTTGCTTTGTATTCATAAAATATCAACATATCGAATGAAAACATCCATTGTTAAACATATGCTGTAATCACCTCTCTGTATGACTTGTGAGTCTGGAAACACAAACATGCCTTGCAGGACATCAGTCACACTGGACCCAGTATCTGAAGAAAACAAATATACTGTATGTGGCTGATATGAACTTGAATCATAGTTGTTAAAAATGATAGAAATCAACAAGTTTTGTTGTGAGATTGACAGCATAGTGCTCTGTCATCCTTTTCATAGCTTACCATCATATGTGAGGAAATGGGTGGAGTGCAACAGGATAAGAAAACCACCATCATTCAGCTGAATGGTGAGAGCCTGTGCGTGAATGAGCATGTTTGTCAGGTACAGTTTTTGGATGTTGGATAGAAAGTAAAATTGTACAAACACATAATGCAGCACAATCGACAGAGAAAATGGTGAACAATTTTTATAATCAATTCATAGTTTGTCGTTCTTTGATAAAAACACCAATCATTTGCTTGTAACAATTGTAAAAATGTTAGGGTTTGTCTTGTTTTCTGCATTTCATATCAGTTTAAATTGAATACTTTAAGTTGCTCACTGTCACATTAAAACAACACTTGGGCTGTGATAAGATGCATATTTGTGACTATTATTTTTTTTTACAATTTATGGAATAAGGCCTGCAATCTCTGGCAGGATTATAAACAGAAACTCACAAGATCGTTCTCCTTGATCTCCTGCAGAAGTAGAGAGAGTGAGCGAGTTTCTTCCACCTCAGAAGAAACCAACTCACACAGACTGCAGTACAAGCCATCCAGAAAGACTAAAAAACATAAGAAAAAGCCAAATTCATTAATGAAATGTTCAATAAATCAAAGAATTGCGTTGAGACATTCCTTGAAGATGTAACTCCAGTGTAATATGGCTGATTTTTTCAATTATTTTCCAACAGCACACCTTCACCAGAAAAGCAGGTTTCAAAGGCAGCCCTTGGCAGCAGCTGTCGCAGATTGAACATGGAAATGGCTCGGTCTATTTTAACCACTGGTGGCCTTAAAAGGAAAAAAAAAACAAAGCACAGACAGGTTAGGTTAAGTTATATAATCTAAATTATAGAAGACATTAAAGAATAAAAAATGTGTGCATTTTCTATGAGCACATCTTAACTTACAGCACTACAGGGATCAAGGCCCCTGCTGTAGATCGCAGCCCAACATCATAGACCTGTGGGCCTATTTGAAGCTGGCCCCTCCACGGAAAGTACTGATGAACTAGGGGCAAAGAAAACATGAAATGAAACAATTATTTAAAATAAGAAAATAAATTTATAACGTTCCTTTGTCACTCAATGGATATTGGTACAAGAATATTGTATTAGAATATTGCTATGCATTTGTTTCAATGACATTTTGGCAGCTGTATATGAGCCGTTTATTGTGCCGAACTACTTTAGGGCAGTGCTATTGCATCTCTTTTTGATGGCAATAAGTATGGAGAAACACTAGGTTTGCCATTAATTATATGTTACTTACTGAGTTTTTTCTCCTCACTGAAAAGAGAAATCAGGAAACAATTAATCAACGTGACTTAACTATTTTCAATTTGTATGAAATGCAATTTGAGTTGCTGAAGTGAGTACCTTTTCTCCTGTGGTGCTTCAAGTGTTGCTTTGGTATCCGTATATGAAAATGACACAATGGCAATAGGACAGGCAGCGCTGGGCGATTGAATTGTCACATTGCTTCCATCATCTAGCAGCTCATACATGTAATACTGCGAGGACAAAACAAGACATATTTCGCTTATCACCATGCATTTAGGTACTCAACAATATTGTGCTCACAAAGATGTGTCAACACACAGACAGAGAGGAAAGACACAAAGTATTATCACTGCATGTTTTTCGATCACCCGCTACATGCCTCTACTTACCTGAGTTCTCTCAAAGGCAAGGAAAGAGCTGGTTTTGGGAGATACCGAGGGCAGCTGTTCGGACACATGGCAGTCAAATCCCACAGTGGGTGCAGTGAAGTTCTGGGTGTAGTTCTCTAAAACTTGTTTAACTCTACCCTGTTGGTAACAACAAAAGGACAATGATGTTCATAAATTGTTTTCCATGAGTGAAAACAATGTTGCACAATTTAATTTTTTCAATACCTTTGACAGCCTGATGATGGCAATGTATCCAGACTTCCCATGATACCAGCGATTAAGATCCAGACAGTCAGAGTACATTGATATGTAAACACCTGAGTAAACACAGAAGACTTTCACTTAAAAATAAATACAGGAATGGTCACGAAAGAGATTTTTCCAAACAACTGACACTCAGAGCAGCAAGGCCACACCCGGAAAGACAAATGTGTCACGGCTGTCAAGGACCACACCATTACCAGCGATCTGAACCCACTGCAGCTAGAGGTGAACTCAAAACAATGTCACATTAAGCTCTTTGTACAGTTTTTAATAAGACATAATACATACATTTCTTTACGCTCACCAATAACAGATTTTAAGATAAAAAAGAAAGTCGACGAGGAGTGAAAACTTTACACGCACTTAGTTCTTAGTTTCCACACGGCAAATCAAACTTTATTGATTCCACAAGGAGAAAGTGTAATCTCCCAGCAGCAGACCGTACCTCTAATGGTCACCAGATGATAGGATTTTGGTGAAGGTTTTATTATAATACATTCACAGTGAGCAAAGATAAGAAACTTGACAACAGGTCGCATTCAGGTAAATTCTCTCAGGTTGCAAGTCTGAATATCGGCGGCTGAACAACCTGGTTAGACAGGTTTGGTGTGTCTGTTATAGTCCCCCGCTAGCAGTGTGCTGCTGACAAAGTGAAGAAAGTTACGACATAATAGAAAAAAAAAAAAATGACTGTGTAACCTTTCAAAATGTCTCTTTCGGCCATTAGGCAATGCAGTCGTAACGTCAAAAAGAAATGCGTCTGTTATGTGAAGGTATTTGAGGAAGTCTGTCACAGGAACTTAAACAGAGTACAGGCAAGAACAGACATTGGATGTGAAGCACAACCTAACTTAACCCCGTGCAACGCTGCTACATTCAACAACATGTGACACAGTGGAGCTCTTGGTCTCGTGCGCAGTTTCACACCAACATTTACAGAAAAACAAGGACTTTGGCCATTGATTTACACCTGAGAACTTCCACACTTATCACAGTGTTTTGAGGGATAATAGACAAAATATTTGAGAGGAAACATTTAAAATGTGAAGTTATAAAGCAAAGCATCATAGGAATTCATATCACAGTTAAAGGAAACAGCTACTGGGAAACAGAAAACAAATGCTGTATTCATTGTCTTTCTGCTTTCAACACAATTCATATCCTGTGGGCCAACATTTAGTTTCTGTTTCACGGCAGAAAGTCTTCCACTTTCATTTTTATAATTCATGTAGCTTTTTAAACTTGCTTTCACTTTCAAAGGCAGGAGCGAACCAGACTCTCAACATGGACCTCTCTTTAGCTCGATCTACATTGCAGATACTTTGGACCGCTGCATGCACGAACAAAGGTAATAACTTTAAATAAAACAGCTTATTGTAATTATTTTAATTTGAATCAAGTGACTAGTAAGTAAATGCATGCTATATTTTACAACAGTTGTTGTTTCTAAGTGTTTACTTGGATGTTTTCTGCGTAGTAATATGACCTGTAGGTTGGTGGTGGTGGAGCTCTCTGTAGTAACATGTCGCTGTGACCTCACTACTGGTTGACACTACTGCCCTGTGAGAGGAGGAAAAACATGAATCAACATTATTTACCTGTCGAGGGATCTCCCAGAGTTGTACATGTGCTGTTTCCAGTGAGCACACCAGTTTCACTGAGTGCATTTGCCTTCAAACAGATACAAATATATCGATGTGAGCATAATCACTAGGATTTGTATGAGCATGAATTTTCTCAGTTGTGCCAGTGTTTTACCTGGTTGATATCCTCAAACAGCAAAAAGCCGTAAGATTCCTTCAGCTCCTCCTCTGAATAACCAAATTTCCGTCTCTTTTCACGGAACGCATTGTACTGGTGTAAAAAGAAGGAAGAAGAAATGAGTTTGAAAGCTGGATAATGTCATTTAAGGATATGTTTGAGGTTCCTCTTGTGGCATTTAAGAGCAGTTCCTATTTCCACTATTTCTTTAACATAAAGGATTTGATATACAAATGAAGAGATACATGAATCAAATGGGAATATTTACACACAAAAAAGTATATCTATGACATCAAACCCTGTGCCACTAATAAATAAACATATTTAAGGTTAGCCATTACACGTGGCTTAATGTTTAATGACTAAAGGTGTGCACTGACCTTTTCTTCCAGTGCTGTGTTTTTTACCAGCACAGCGGACTTATACCTGAAAGACCGTCTCGACTCCTCGTACAAGTACGCACTTTTAAGTGGGGCCAAAATACTGCTTTGAAAGACATCAGACCGTTCTGAGACAGGTACTAAAACACCTAGAAGTACACAAAAGGACAAGTACAATCGTTAGCATGACATGCAAGCGACACGAGCGAAATTACAGCGAATTGTTCTTCAAGGGAAAAGTTTCACAGGGCTGGGACTTTTTGTACTGTGAGACACGACACCTTGTCCACGCGTCCTTTTCTTTTAGGCTAATCACACGAGAACAGGAGGTGGATATCTCACAAATACTTGGAAATACATATACGATCCACATTTCTTGTTGAAAGTTACGTTACACGAGGAGAGGAAGAAAAAAAAAAAAAAAGCAGACAAAAAAGAAGCTCGTCACCTTTACTCGAGGCACCACCATTCCCACTTTCCATTGCTGAATACTTATGACATCTGTCGTTCTCGTTTTGCCCTTCGATGAAAACAGTTGTTCTTAAACATTACAATATAAATATGAAGTCCCATGTAGTGCTGTAAACGAGAGAACCGTTCAAAGTAACTTGAGCTTTCGCCGCAGTTTCAACCGACATATTAATGCGACAACCAGGAAGTTACAGAAAATATGCACCCGTCCGAACACGTAGGAGGAAAAACGTCCAGTTAAATCCGCTTATTTTGGGCAATAAATCCTTTTTAGTTAAGACAGATCCTCGGTCTTCTGACAGGGCTGATCAGCGCGTGTATATTCCGCTTCGAAATAGAAACAGAAACCTATCGAGGAGAAACCTCCATCTTGAAAGTCTACACCAAACTGGTCGTGTTGGTGAAGCTAGTCTGCGCCTGCGGTTCTCTTCTCCTCTGTGTGTGTGTGTGTGTGTGTGTTGTTCTCTATTCAGTGAATAGTGAATGATTGCTAGCTATGAAACGAACCGAAATCGACAAAAATCGCGTTTCTACCCGTTACGTTAACAGCCTGGCAGTGTAAGGTTATAATTTTGATTGTATAATAAATACATATGTATATGCACATTGTTTTTTAGGTGTAACTCTAGAGCTTGAGGAGGTAGTTGGATCAGTGCTAACTGTTAAAACACTCACATTGAGGCAGCACCAAACTTTTACTTTCATTTCTGCCGATATAATAATGTAAGTATTTGTGAAAAGAAACCATTAGCCGACAGAGTTTGGATTAAAGACCATTCTGCTTCTGTTGGTCGTTAACAAGTGCACACTAACTTGGTTTGAGGTTAAATACACTGTGGTGTATGGTTGAGTCTCGTGGCTCTCATCGTCAAAACCATAACCTGAGTGGATGTAGTCTATGTGACGTCTCCTATAGGGGTCTGAGGAGCCTTGTGAAGCTAGGTGGCTCCTGTCGGAGTAGACACTCAAAGCGGACACGCCCTTATTGATCTAACTTTAAGCTTTAATATAATTTACATGGGTGAGTTAAACAAAAGTTTCAGTTGCATTGGATGAGGATAATAGCTTTGGAGAGCTAAACTGTTTTTTGTACCAAGCTGTAAACAGGTTTATTTCTGCTTCTATGGAGATCGATTTGCTTTCAGAGCCAGCTTCAAGTGGACATTTAAGGAACTGCAATGTTTGGCACTTCAACGTTGGCTTCATTTCTCAGCACCGGAGATTGCACGGACTTGCAATACATGTTTGCCTTTTTATTTTTGCAATGCAATAAAAAAATGTACAATGACCCCAAAGAGTCATGTTGGGAATTATTTTTTTGAACTTCTTTTATGTTGCCTCTGAATGTTTTCTCATTTCTCCCATTTTCCATTCCCCTGAACCCATAGGAACATTTAGTGTGTTGGTACAGTCCACAAAAGGTATTACAACATCTGTTCACTCGAGTCTGTTGTTCATATTTTGATAAAAACTAAAAGGATCTCACAAGCCGCCACTGTTTCAGCAGTTGCAAACACTAAAATTGGTCTACAATTCAGAGTTGTCAGACCACACGAACACAGCATGTACCTGCCCAAGCATGATGGTTTAACAAGGGGGACTCAGTAGTTTCTGGGCCATCTGTGGCTACACCCAAACATATTTAGCTGCACTGCGCAAGTTAAACGCTTTATCTTAATTGGTTAACTCATAAGTAGGACATTATGTTCAGTTTCATGTGGTTCTGATGTCCATGAACCAGGAGGTTCTAGTAAAGGTTCGAGTAAATAAATACATTTTCCCATTTTTTTCTGCATTGTTAAATAGGAATAAACATTTGTTTTTTATTTTTGGTATTTATATTTTTTATATTTATGGCATTCAATTGTTTTACTTGATTGATTTTCCAAAAGTCAGTCGCCTACATCTCCCAGAGTTCATAGCTTTTGTTTGTTTTGTACTGGACGTCAACGTCACTGACCACCCCGCGTGTTTTACGGTAATGCAGCCCTTCCAGTCTTTACTCTTTTGCCTCAAAATGAACAGCATGTTTGACTGAAGTCTTCGTGGTCGACGGAAAAGAAAAACGGTAACATGAAATGATGGAGATCACTCGGACCAGACCGTCCTTGTTTGGAGAAATCGGTAAGTAGCTTAGCCAAGCGAATGACCGGATGTGGCTGGTATCCATGGCTGGTAGCTACAAGAGTTTCCATTAGCTTTGATGTCATGGTGGCTAGCTGTCACACGTTTAGCTAGGCCATTGTGAGCTAGCATGCTCTCTTAAAGTGCCTGTGAAAGCACTTTAAGCATAAGCTCGTTGCGATTGAACAGATCAATGGAGCCAGTAACACACACCTTACAATGTAATACGATCCAATACACTAGTGCTGTAGCTCGTGATAGTTTGGATCATGCTCTACATTAGTGACTTTATTATTTTTCTGTCATGTTTTTGAGGAAGCTAATTGTGGATCTTTTTCTCTACTTTGTGCTTGAGGCTAAATATAAATAAAGTTATATTTCAGCTGTATTTAAATGGTTGGAATGACTAAATAAACTTGAATCATAATTCAACATGCAGACACTCGGTATTGTTTGGCTTCACACATTTGCAGCTCATGGTCTTGGATTCTGGACGGACCGGTCAGCGGTGCATGTGGCCGCTGCAGAGGGCCGGGCCCTCCAGCTGCAGCAGCTGATCCTGGGCGGTGCAGCAGTTAACATTGTGGCAATCGACTCCATCACCCCGCTGCATGAGGCGTGCATACAGGGACAGACCCAATGCGTCAGACTGCTGCTGGATGCTGGTGCACAGGTGAGATGGTGTCAGAGATGGCTTCCCCCATCAGTGCACGAGGGACTCTTGTTTATTGACTGTATCTGTGTCTTCCAGGTGGACGCTCGTAACATCGATGGAAGCACGCCGCTGTGTGATGCCTGTGCAGCGGGTAGCCTTGAATGTGTCAAGCTGCTGTTGGAGTACGGAGCAACAGTTAATCCTCCACTGTTTACCTTCTCACCACTTCATGAGGCTTGCATGGGAGGTGCGTCTTGTTGCATACAACATCGCACAGGGATGTATGTATGTTGAGTCCTGTATCTGTGCATTATCAAGAGGTCTTTGTTTCAGTTGTCCTGCATTGCCAAACCTGTTTCTAAACAGTGCTTGTGTTGTGTCAATGCAGGTGAAAGGTGGGGGAACTAGTTATGTTCCTGGAAAAGTCAATAAAACATTCATCATAGCAGGCTGTACCTTCACGAAGGGAGTCAGTGTTCTTCCTGAATAGAGCCAGGAACACATCTAGCTCAAGGCTAAGTTCATACATGTTGTAACAAGTTTAAAACTTTTTAAAAGTCTCCTGTAATAGGACATTTCTCCAAGAGGCAGGGACGTGGAACACAAAACAGGAAGAGAGTGCAGAAATGTGGAAAACAAATACAATACCAGAGCTCTTGCTTATTAATTAAAAGCCTTTTTAGAGCTAGCAATGAATCAGAAACCAATTATACAATTACCATTAAGCCTATGGGACAAACGTGGACTGGTTATGCTTGCCTAGGAATTGGAACACACTGGAATGATTGCAGCATTGCTTTGAACATGGAAGTGACGAGTAAGAAGAAAGCTTTAAAGTGAAACTCAAAATCTATTCATGCTGAACAACATCTTCAGTACTCTGTGAAGGAAACTACAATATGCAGCCACCTTTTAAAGCCCACAGGAATTGGGTGTTAGATACTTAAGACCGAATTTCTGGTTGGAGTACCATATCTACATTAACTTCTCTTAGAACCTTTAATTTAGTTCTAAACCGACTTTATTTATCCCGTCTCTCCCAATAGGAAATTCCGATTGTGTTCAGTTCCTGATTGATCAAGGAGCTTTCATGGAGGCCCACGACTGCCACTATGGGACGCCGCTTCACGTATCCTGTGCAAGGAAACATTATGACTGCGCCAAAGTTCTCCTCAATGCAGGTGAGGTCAAGTTTGTCTTCTCGGTCAAAATAAATATTTTTGGGTCCAATGATTATTGATTATAATGCATTTGCAATTAGCGTATAAACACAAATGCTACAAACAAGAAGTATTTCTCCTTCTTCATACAATTTTCTCTTACTTTTCCCCAAAAGGGGCAAATGTGAATGCTGCCAAGTTACATGAGACGGCCCTTCATCATGCAGCCAAATCCAAGAGGGCTGACTTGATTGATCTACTTGTGGAGTTTGGGGGGAACGTGTACGCCAGAGATAACCTGAACAAAAAACCCATCCACTACACCAGTCTGGGCTCTACACCTTATCTCTGCCTTGAGTTCTATGAGAGTAAGTGTGTTTATTTTAAGCCAGCATGCTGTCACTGTCAATATATAGATCATCTCATCTCTGTTGTTTCCTCTTCCGTAGATACCCCTCTCAGTCTACAGCAGATCAGCAGAGTGGCTGTGAGAGGAGCTCTCGGCAGCAGAGCACGGGAAGTCGTTTCCCAACTGAACTTGCCCAATCGCATCATACGTTTTTTGTCCTACATGCCACCTCAAGTTATTGAAATTGAATCACCTGTGTGAAACTTAAGGCGCAGCTCTTTAGAAGGTTAATTCTAGACCAGTTATGTCTGCTGACATCTCCTCTCCGGAAAGTCATATGACAGGATGTTGAAGTGAAGAGCAGAAGAGCAGCACAGATCAAATGTCATAACACTTCAAGACTAGAGAGATTTCTTAACTTGAATAATCAGACTGCTTGCCCAGGCACATTTGACAGCGTTGAAACATGTACCATGATCTCATCATGATGTTCTGGCTAACCTGTCGGTAAACAACTGTAAGCTTACACATCCACTCGAGTTATGTTTAAGGCCACCAAATTAATGTTAAGTCCGGCATTTACTTTCATTTAAACCCTTTGCTGCAAAAACACCCGTCTTCTCCTGGAAGTAGATGAGTCTCACCCATACAGTCTGCATGAAGGACAAACAACCGTAACAACTAGTGTAAACCCACACAGGTGATATGAATCAATTTGTCCTCTTCTCAGGAATGTCAGCATACATACTCTCTTATTATCTTTATCTTTTAATCTCCGTATTACTACGTGGAGTCATAACGTGACCTCGCATAACTTCCAGCATAGCTCAGCCCACCTTCGCCCGAGCAGGGGCGTCGTCAGCCACACCTTAACAATGCATTCCCAGAATGTTTGGCCACAGAACAATTTCACATTACTTTGAATCAGTGATAATATCAAAAGTGTTGCTTCATGGAGCTTAAAATAAACATGAACCTGGCTTGCTCGTCATGGGGACTTCATCATAGATCTTGTGATACTTAATTGAAACCAGAGGGAACATGAAGTAGTTTGCTAGGATTATGTCACTGTATATATTATGTAACTGTGTACTTTGAATGTAAATTTGTAAATAATACAGATGGTTCTACCTCTATTCAATTTGTGTAAATAAAAAGACCACTACGGGGCTATTTTAAAAATAATTCTCTCGTGTTGTGTCTTCTGTTGTAGCTGAACTGCGAGTATCAATATTGGTTGTTATTGTTTTGGTTGTTTCTTTCAGAAAAATATTGCTTTAAAGGGTTGCACTTGTCAAAACGACACTATGGTTATTAGGTCATTCAGTCCAGACTTTTCAAACTTTTTTTTTGCCTTCGGCAGCTCACATTACCGCATTTTTTGAAAGGGAGGAGTGAGTCGAGGGGTATTCAGTTGGTTGCATTCGTTCACAAGTGTGTCGGAGAACTACAGTGGCCGTCAGGTAATGCAAAAACGTGATGAAATGATCTCTCTACAGCCAGAGGTTGGCTTGACCATTCTGGCTTACGGTAGAAATATGGCGGACTCTGTGAAGAGGACTAGCTCCATGTAGACATGAAGGGCTCACTTTCAGCTAACGCAAACACGATTCTTAGTTCCAGGTGATTATTCACTAAAATAAACAATTATGACTATTCTATGAATCTGCTAATAGATCCCCCACGAAATGCTACATACTGGCCCTTTTAATTATAAAATATTTGTAGTTTGGGAGCTTTTGAGCTCAAATGTGAGACCTCCCGGATGGACACATGGATCTGAAATATTCAGTTCAATTAAGGGCATCTCTTTGTAAATAAGACCCTACGTGATGGGTTTCAGAAAGATTGAGGAACCCATAAGGACCCACGGTGACACAGTTGTCACAGACACTTTAAATATCCTGGAAAGTCCCTAAGTGACACATACTGAACATCCTGGAAAAGTCATGTGACCGTGAGTTTATTTGTGTACCAATGGCATCACTTCCAAAATGGCCGCCTGGCTGGTCAGCACATTTGGCAGAACTAGCTAATTTCTGCTCAATTGATTCAATTATTTTTAGTTAAAATATGTTCTTTTGTTGAATTCAAAAGACGTTTAAACAAAAAAAAATAGGCCAAGTTGATTGGTTTTCAAATAAAGAAAACATCTATATGTAAACGCCCAATATGACATATATGTAACATTTCAGATCTTTGCCACTAAAAGGTAGTATTTAGAAACTATTTTCAGAAATGTGTTCTATGTGGTCTGTTTTATATCCCCTATAATTTTCCTTTAAGGACAAATGGGTTTTGGTTGTTATGGGTTAATGTCTGTGAATAGTAATATAAGTGCAGTTAATGGTGTAACAATAGGGGGAACTAGGTCTGGAAACTTTACAAAAAATGAAGAGACTTCCCCAAAACTGGTGAATATGCAGGAGGAAATATGTAAATATCAGGATAACAATTCTGTGATTAGGCCTCAAAGCAGCAAGGCTGAGATCCTCTTTGCAAGGCAGTCGGGCATACACTGGATGTTGAGAGTGGGCAGACAAGCTGGAACCAAATGAAAGATTACCAAAAAAAAAAAAAAGACTGACATCACCACTTAAAAATGTAAAGAATGCAGTAATTCTCCACCAGAATGCTTTAAAACTGAATTTCCAATCAGCTTAAACAACTTACACAAAATCATCAAAACCATCTTAGGAAATAAGGCTAAACGGAATTAAAGATTCACATAACTCAACAGTTAACTGAACAAATAAAATATGAAAACATCTCGCATATAACTGCTACATAATCGAGTGGATTAAGGCTGATGACGTATTTCCTGTCTTTAGCCCCTCCTTCCTCTACCGTTACCCATAGCAGTACATTGCTAGCCAAACGTTAGCTAGCAGCTAAAGATGGCTTGTAGAGGACAATACAAAAATACAAAAAGTAAAATACTGGCATAACGTAAAATGTAAAATCAAATGTGCTTGAATAATACGAGGTTACAGGCGTTAAACCTAATAATTTAACGTCAAGATAACATCACGACCGCAAGACTGCTGCTAACAGTATTAGCTCGGTGTTACCTCCTGTTAAACCGAGCTAACCACAACAACCTGTAACACTAGTTCCTACTCACGATATAACTTCCGGCTTTTCATTTTGGTTTTATGGATGAAGTCCCTTAATATAAGGAATGAGGACATGTTGCTTTCAGGGCACGACTTGATGCAAATTATCTAGAAAGCAGAGAAGCCAACAAATAGAGATATTTATAAAAACAGTGTGGTAAAATAGAATAGAAAGGAGCTAAACTAGGTATGAAATATTTCTTGAATTGTCATGCAGGCCACAAGTTAAATGTGTATCTGATGAAGATGCTTTAAACAAACAGTGATGAATTCACGTAATTTGGTAAAAAAGAAAGACAGCCACATTCGGTGGAGGCGTTGAAAATCCTAAAAACTTTCAGATTCCTGAGCTTGTTATTTGATCCTACCTCAACCCCCAGCTGTCTCCACTGATCCCATCTAGGAAGGTGTTAGGTTTGTAAGAGACACATCAGGACAGTACGAGATATTGTCCTTGGGGAACCACTGAGCTAAAGCTTACAAAAATAATAATCAGGGACAATGGCAAAAGGATGCCAGGTGTTTTTTTACATGAAGTGATACCTTTTAAACTCTCAAAGACTGCATTCGGCAGCAGTACATTGTTCATCCAACAGCGTCTTACTTTAGCAGAAAATACATTTTTGAGGAACACGCTATCTTATCAGCAAGGTTGTTGAGAAGCTGTTATTGTTGGTGGCTCACAATGCGCTATAAATACTGCAGGTTCAGCAGCTGACAATGTGGAAGAGGCCCTTTCAGTCAAATGGTAAGTGTGGTGTGCAGCTGGGGTTGTGGCAGGACCAGCAGGCACCAGGAAGAAAAAGAAGAAGGGGGAGTAGGAAAATGCAACAGCCAGGTAACTCATGTACAAGGAAACGTTGAAATGCACAGGTTGCTGTGGACATGTTAGTTTAACTTCATGACCCTGATCTTTCTCCAGACACCTGCACCTCCAAATGCAGTCTGGTGAACAAGATGAATATAATTATCCATCTCTTTACCTCTGAGAGCTGTTCACACTCGAGAATTTGAGGTTTGTCTTCTAGCACAGAATTAATTCAAGAGTTAGTTCCTCTTTGAGCACTTCCAGGTTCAGCTCCTAACCTGCTTTTAATTATCTTCATGAAACTCTGCAGCCATTTTGTTTGTCAGTATGGATTTTGAACACATGCTGTATTTCTTTTCATCAACAAGTCTTAAGTCATGTGTGATAAAGTAGATCTCCTTTTCTTATGTCACTCTTGACACATCCAACGTTGATAATCACTGCTTTACAGCGAGTAGAAACTAAAAAACAAGACGTTCAGATGTAGTTTACTTAAACCCAGTGGTGGGCCGTCAGGGCCAGCTAAGCCTTCTCTGCTGGCCTAAACAGAATCACAAAGTTATAGCTATTTTATAATTTAATAATAATAAAGCTTCAGTCTCTATTTCTCGGCTGGCGAATGCCGAACGCAGAACGCCGGCCGGCCCCAGCTGTTTTTTGTTGTTGTTCCGGGTTCAAAAGGTCACACATCCCATTGTCTGTTACGTGTATCATCACACCAATAGAAACAAATAACCATAGCTCAGTAGGACAGCACAGAAGGCCCAGGTATAAAATGCACAGCCCGCCACTGCTTAAACCTATTTTTGCAAATATTTAAAGGTTAAATAAGTAAGAGGTTGTTTTTTTTAAATGGGTTTTTAATGTTTCTAGATATATCAAATGGCCTTTACAACGGTATTCTGAAATTAAAAATGAACAGAACTACATAACGGATATGTAGGATTTCAAGACATTAAGAGAAAAGGAGGAGCACACTTAAGTTTTTTTTTCAGCTTCCGTTTACTGGACAAAATGTTGCGACACACTGTTGAACAGCTCTGCCAACAGTAAAGCGACTGAGGAGTCAAAGTACAACTGAGAGGATGTTTGTACCCCCATAATACCCATACTACCACACTATTTAGTATGCCAGAAAAAGATCTAGCATGACCCAATACATAGGACGTCAAATGCAGTATGCCAAAAATACCAGGATGTCTGACTGAATCTGGTCACATTTTGCACATAGGCAAGCCAGCTTTTCTGGTTATTCTGACCCACGATCTTCTGCACAGATGATATATGAGCAAGAAGGTAAAAGTTCAAGGTGCAATGTTATGATGAAACGGTATGTCCCAACTGAGTGCATACTCTTGCAACAGTGCGTCTTTGTAAGGGCAGCTGCAGTACGAACTAAAAGTAAAAATGTATTTGATTTTGAACACGGAATATCTCAGTCTATTGGGAGTCTTTTAAAAGTACAAACTAAATGTTTTATCTTTTTCCATTTAACAACTTTTCTCTGAAATACATCTAGATTGCCCAAGAAATTTTTTCTTCATCATATTCGTGATCGGTGTGCTTTTTAATTCTGCTCATTATCTTGTATCTCATCTCAAAAACCTAGACTTCTGTCACCCAAAGTCTTCCTGCACTAACAGCTCAGACCACCAGTGTCTTAGTTCCTTGATCGCTTGACACCGATAGCACTTACAACTACATACATCTTTAATATAGATTAATTGACATTTTGATTGCAGCAAAAAAAAAGATAAGTGTTGACACCAGAAGGAATGTTGAAACTACATTTGAAGAGCTACAAGTGGTATAAAGCTGTTTAAATGTAAGTACACATAAAACCCTAATTCCACACACAATTAGCAGGTATAAACACACATTTCAGTAACACTGACACATTGTTTTTTTTTGTTGTAAACTAATTACACTTTGTAAAGACTAAAATTTGACAATACATTTGGATGGAATTGATTAGAAAGACTTTCAGTGCAGCTACAGTGATGAAGTAAAAGCAGAAAAACAGTGGTTGCATGAAAATTCACTGACAGACACTTGTTGCCTAAATGTGTCTGTCTAAGAGGAACCTGCTGCCGGGTTAAATGTCTACACTCCAGTTTCCTTCCTCTTTAGTGAGCCTTGTAACTTCTGGTCCAGTCTGGTTTTGGAGAGCGTCTGAGGCCTGAGTTTAGGGCCACAGACAGGCGGGCAGTTCTCGTCCGTCTCCTCGTCAGAGGTGGTGACTGAGATGGTGGAGGAGCGACGCTTGGCTCTGACAGCTTCTCCCTGCTGAACTCTGGGTGGAGCCCCCTGTTGTTGGGCCATGGCGGTGCGTAGACAGTTGAGCCACTGCTGCTTGTGGTAGACATCGTTGACATGCAGGGTGTGGGACTGGCCGTGGGAGGGATCCAGAGAGCTCACACGGAAAGCGTTCTTAGCTGGAGGGACGCAGAAAGAAAAGAGATAGTCCACTGAGCGACAAAGCCAAAGTCTCCAATTTGCTCTGTCTGACCAACTGTCCAAAACTTTTCAAATTATCAATGATATCAAAGAGAAAAGCACCAAATCTTCACATCCGAGAGCCTGAAATCACAAAAGTTGAGAATCTTTGCTGGATAAATGAAACGATCAAACACTTTAATAGATGAGACAACATGCCTCGGCCACAAACCGCCAGCTGGTGGAGCTCAACTCAACTCAACCCACCTTTCTCTCCATTGGTGAAAGCCCCTCTGAAGGAGCCCCCCATGCGGATCTCTCCATCCTGCAGGTCCTCTAGACCCAAATCCAGAACTGGGATGGGTTGTCGATACACCTGGAAGCAGCTCCTCTCATTCCGGGTCACCGGTCGGGTCAGAACCAACAGCTCACAGAAGAGGAACACATGCAGCCTCTGCGAAGAAACACATTAATATAAAATGATACAACACAGACAAAATGTATGTGGATGGTCATAATAAGGAGAGTAATCCTAATTCTCACCGAGCCACTTTTGTTCCGCAGCTCGCCGTGACAAAGTAGGGTCTTACAGTTGTCTATGAGAGGGTCCCGCTGCTTATCATCCAGATACTCCAGTTTGTCTATATAATACTGACACTCAGACTCCCCTTTTCTCACATTGATATCAGACAGAATCTCCTGGATTATAGTGATCTGCACAAATAAAGAAAGGCCGATCAGTTGGTTATTTGGTAAAACACACAAGACTACATAATCAGTGAAATAATAGCGGAATATGTTATTTATCAGATATAGCAGCTAAATATAAGGAACACTGTCTGTGACTGCAAAGGCATGTCATTTGAATAACGTACAGCTCTCTCCAGACTGGGTACGTCTGGGTGATCAGGAGCAGTGTGTCTGAGGATCTCTCGCAGCAGCAGTGGGTATTTCACCAGACGCGATCGAGGGATGTCTAGGAAGCTCCAAAGATCCAGCTTCCTGCTGAAGGGCGACTCCAGGCAGCGCTGCAGGAAGTCCTGGACCCGCCTGTCCTGCTTTTTCTGGTCCAGCAGGGCTTTGGCCGCGAGCTGGTTGCTACAATAGCCTTTGTAAGCGTTCAGACCAGGCAGCTGAAAAGATATAAGAAAAGTTACAATCTTTTTGCATGTTGAAATGTATCGTATCTGAAGCTAATGTGTGTCAGGTGAACATCAACACACACCCAGTCAATAACGATCCGTCCAATCTGAGCTACTGTTCCATCGGGGCCAGTTCCCACCGTCAGTTTCATCAGTAAGTCTGCAGATTATTAAAAAAAGCACACACATAGTCAGAAATGCTTCAAGCGTCATTTAAAGCTTGGGTAGGCAGTTTATTTTTGGCATCATTGGGCAAAATTGCCTTGCGCAAGAGGCAAAACTATTAGAGGGATGGAGAGAAAATGTTGCTGATAGTTTAGCTTTCTGCTAACCGTAGCAACAATTTCTCTCCAATTTGTTTTCCCACTGCTGGTATAGCAACTTTTCCGGCAGGATATTCCGCCATTGAATTATAGGCTTTCACCGAAGGGACGTGCACGCACATCTGCATTTGTAGAACAGCCAATAGGAACGTCTTCTCTCTGAAATGACCTGTGATAGGCCAAAGTCTCTGGTCACACGATAGATTTTCTAACCCAAGAAAGCAGAGCCAAGCGGAGGTGCAGAAGTCTAGATTTCTGCCAGACCACAATTATATGCCGAAAGGTTATTATGGACATGTTGTCCAATGAAACCAAAAGTAAACTGTCAAGCAGTTTAAATCCAAGAATATTTGTTGGTAATTTACCCTCATGTAAGGGGATGTATGCATCCAGGTCCCCGAATATGTGAGCCAGTTCCTCCTCTGTCATGATGGAGAGTTTTAGCATCGGATCATGGTATGCCTGATTGTGAAGAAAAGCAGCATTGTGAGCACAAAAAAGGGAGCATGTTTTTATGTATTTGTACAACATTAAATAAGGCTTTTCTAACCTTTCGTGCAAGTTGGAGATCCTCTATGAGATCCTGCTCTCCCCTGTAAAGCTCATGAATTGCCTGAAGAAGAAACAGAAACCGCAGCAGGAGAAGTTATTTTTTTTCTGCCCTCCATGCTTTTAAGGTGACTGTGCTGTAAACTTTAAAAAAGACTGAACTGCAGAACCTCTTGTCTCTTGATCTCTTTGGTGGAGAACGTGCTCTTCTGATGGACATCCAGTGTCTCTGACCACAGCGTGCTGTTTCTGCGTTTGGTGGGAGTGGGACCTGCTGCCTTGCTGCTAGCTTTGAGGGACATCCCCGGTGACTTGTTGTCCCCACGTAATGACATTGACTAGAGAGAGAGAGAGAGAAAAAAAAAAAAAAAAAAGATTTTACAGTCAAATGCAAATTTTACTAATTTCAATGTTCTACCATGTAAATTTGTAGAGGGAGTGCCACTAGAGTTTGGCATGTACCTGGATGGTCTGACCAAAGCGCCGCACTGCTCCATTCTTTGCAGGAGATAGCAAGTTGACGAGGGATGAAACTTTAGCCAGCGGTCGGACACGCTTGTTACTGGGTTCCTGGGAATCAAGGAAATAAATTGTATTGAGTTTTTGATATTCAGTTGATTGTATTGATGTGTAGATTGTAGTATTGAATACTAAGGCATTGTTAAATACAAGGCTGTCAATCACACATTGGGAATAAAACCTTTTATTACTAATTTTGTTCAAAGCCTGATTAAAAAAAGGCTGTTCTGCAGTTGCAGAAATTAGATGACAGATATTCCCTTTATTACTTACAAATATGTATTTGCTTATTATAAAGCACTGCTTTTGTTTCACATAGAAACAACTCTAAATCAGGAAATACTCAAGTTTTATTTCACTCTCAAACACCACAGCTGACTTTTATGCAAGCTTAATGTCACGGTATTAAAATGGACATGAAAGTTGTTGATGTTGTTTAGAAAAAGGTATTAAACCACTTTGGCAGAGCCAAGAGACTGTGATAATACTGAGGGACAAGGATAGGATTTGCTGTCACCATTATCCTCTCCTCAGACAGACACTTGTGCCAGTGAAAGGCGTATTGGGATTATCCTGAGCTCATAACACACAAGCACACTCATGGCTGTCTGTGGTGAGTACCTGAGTCATGCAGAGGGATTAAAGTTTGTTGTGAGGACACGTTCGCGGGTGCAACACTAGACTTGCTGCCTTGACTCTCACCTTGAGGTCGAAGCTGGACAGACTGACTGTGTCATCCTCCTTCTCTTTGCGCTTTCTCTTCTGTAGCAACACAAGAATACAAACTGGTTACTTTTACAAGTCTGTAACAACATTTAAATGTTAGGATCGCAGCCCAGAAATATTATCCTGAATAAACAGTCACGTATGGCTTTAACAGATCATATGTGCGTGGATGTGAACACTGCAATCTAACATGATGGTGTTGTGCTTTCAACATCAACTCACGAGACTGAAATCCCACGGAGTTCCAGGAGTGAGAAAGGTGAAGGAGCTGCCTCTCTGCAGAGGAGGTCTGCAGGAAATGCGACAAATAAGCGTCGGTCAAACACAATGACAACAAGGTTATATCGACTTCATTGCAGAGAGACTGACTACTACTCTGCTGAGGATGTTATTTTTTGTCTTCTATTGATGAAAAGACATACGGAATCTGATCATACGTGCAGACATAGCTGCGTAAATACACCACAAACAGCAAATCAAGGCATACAAACACGACTAAAGAGCATTTCAGCTTTGTTAACATGATGAATGCCTTTTTCCTTTTGTGTGCCATTTTTGCTTCAGTCACTTTTATGTTTCAATTATGTCAAACGCTGTGGATGACGACTGAGGGACGTTGATAGAACCATATAAGGAGCTGGACGGCTCTCTGCTGCTGCAGGAAAAAAGTCAGTTATGGACACAAAACAATGCAGATACAGAGAGTTACAATGTCTTCTTCTGATGACACCCTGAGGGTGCTGTCAAGGCCAAAGTCAGCTGAACACACTGCTATAAAACGTACTGTTGTCATGTTGGAAATAACGGAAATATGAGTGGAGAGTGAAAGATCAGAGGAAAGTGATGAAAAATAATTGGTGAAGTTGCATTCATCTGCAAGCCGTCTGCAAAAATCATGATAAATGTGTAGGCAGAGTATTAATTACAAGCTAATAATCATGCAAGTTAAAAAATTATTTGTATTTGAGTATTTCCTCAACCCTATCTGCAGTATCGAAGAACAAACAAAGGTGCAGTCCAGGTTTAACTATGCACACACGTCTGGCAACTGTTTCTACCGTGACATACATATAATACAGGCAGAGAAATCATGGAAATACCAACTCCACCGTTTCCCAGTATCAGCAGTGTAAACAAAACCAAACTGAGGAAATTATATCTGATATTGATGCATCTAACTTACTCTGCCGTTGATTACAGTGCTGAAAAAATAAGCCAACAGAAAAGTGACTTGTAATCAAGCAATGTATCATGCAAGAATGCCACATTTACAATTCAGCATTTGCTGGTTGCAGCTTTTAAATTGTGTCTTTTTTCACATCATAGTCAATTGAATATCATTGAGTTTTAGATTTTGTTTGGTCAAAAGATACAAGCATTACAAAGACACCTTTTTGGGGATTTCAGAAGTCATGATGGACATTTTTTCTACTTTATTAATCCACAGATGAATCAATAATACAAATAATAATCAGTTGCAGCCATAATTGATCATATTTCCATTCTTAGTTATAACTGTAGTTTGTATTCATCAGTTAACCAGCAGATTGCATGATGTGGATTTTGTAGACCGCTAAAAACAGTCGTTCATTGTGTTATAACTCACATTTAGTGCCACCACACTGCATATTTAGTGCCACCACACGCAGCTTAAGTATCCGAGGTGCACTTGAAGGCATCATGGCCGGTTACAATAACAGCCCTTCCCTTCACATGTCGGCTAACCAACGTTAGCTCACAATGTGCTGAAGTCCTATTACGTAACAATCAGAGCTCCAGAATAAATACATACATAAATAATGAATTACATATAACGATATCACATGTATCTGGCCTGATCTACGTACTTCTTGTTTTTGCGGAGTGTTTGAGGAGACGGCTCCGCCGCGCTTATCACAATGGTGGTGGACGTCCTCGATGACATCCTGCGGAGTTTCTGCTTCTTCTTTCCCCCCCTTCTTCCTCCAACGTTTTCATTTTCTTCCATTTTACAGGAGGCTTCGTTTTTAGATCGGTTGTATCGAGACGTATTAACGGCGTTGCGAACAAAATACACAGTCCAGACCCATGAAAACTGGCCCGATGTGTACAAAGAAGGCAGAAGATCGATGACAACAGAGCGCACACACCACGGCGGAAGTTTGAATATGGCGGATTCTCGGATTCTTGGATATGGACCAATCAGGAGAGGGCTCAGAGCTCCGTTGCTGTGATACCATGAGGTGGGAGTGGCCAGTGAGACTAAAAGGACCTTGAATGTAGCACACATACATACGTAATTTGTTACAAGCGGGAGATAATGGAAAGCAAGCTAACCGTAAAACATATACTAGGTTATATATAATTATGCTAACATAATAATAGTAAACGACGGTGGATGGTATAAACCTACACATTTAATTCAGTGTGTAGAAATGATAAAGTTGGCCCAGTTTTAAATTGATAAACAGATTTCTTTGTGTGTATAAGACTGAAAAAATATAATATCATCGTATTTTCCTGCCCCAAATACTTTTGATAATAAGTAGACATTTCGGCATTTTTAGCACAGACAGACCAAGAGCTTTTATAATGCAGTAATAGTTTTAACTGTATATGGCTGCTAGCTTTTGTTTCTCCAAATGTTATTTATGTATACATTTATCCTCATACTTGCCTGTTGGCTAAATAGCAGCTATATTTCTATGTATGCTTACCATTGTTTTTATTTGATGTTTCACTGTTGTGCATCATGTTTGTTGTCTCCTTTGTATATTTAAAGCTACTCGTGCAGAGACAGGGAGGTAAATATTATGAAGATTCATGTTATCCTATAAATATTATATCATGACGCCTGCGTGTACGTTTTTCTCATGCATATTGCATTTGATATATTTCATTTATCCATTTCAGTATAAAGGCCATGCAGGTAAAATGGATTAAAACTATGATGACACTCTAATTTCCTACAAATTCCTTGGCTTTTTATTAAACATATCATCTCAAGGTAAATCTGCTGACATGCAATGCATCATTTTGTTACCTCCATATGAGGATCAGGATTCGATCTTATGGTTACTCAGAAAGCCTGTTTGACCGTATCCTACGACCCGACCACCCGTCAAACAGGTCACGGAGAGCCCCTCAGACTCCACAGTTCTGTCCTTCATGAGCACATCATCACCTTAAGGTGTCCATCCATTCCACTTTGATCAACATACCTGTCAGTCACATGAAATATGGTGCTAGATATCACTGCTAGGGTGTCTTCATGAAGTCAGGGTGACACAATAAGACTGAAGCATAGAAATAGAATATTTTATTTCTATGTATTGTACAGAAACCATAACATTTGTAGTGTGCATTTACAGTTGAATGGGATAAACACAATCTAACATATGGATCTATGAAACAATCTCACCTCAAGGTCCATGCAGTAGCTGTCGTGGAGTCAGATCCACTTTCAAGTGTATTAAAAACTGAAAACTGTATAAAGTAGCCGTCAATTACCTGTACACTAATTTATAATAAAATAGAATAATACAAATAATAATAGTATGGGATGGAAAGCAGGGCAGTAGGTGGTAGGAGACCAGACTATAATTTCTCTGGTTCATTTCTGAGTCACTTCCAGCCGTCTGTGTTCATTTGCATGTCATGGAGGAGCATTCTCACTCTGCCTTCTTTCAGCTAATCCTCAGCCATCCATGTGAAAACACCCTCTATGTTTCCATCTGATGGAAGAATCGTGGTAATGTGCTTTTATAGAAACGCCCCGAACAAATCAAAATTAAAAAAAAGAGAAAATACAGGCAGAGGGCAGGCATCGCCACACTGTTGGTGATCATTGAGAGTCTATACATAGTTTATTTCAGGAAAATCATACCCATTTGTATGCTAATTGTGTCAGAATTTATCAATGAAAGTGGTTTCATGATAAAAGTAAGTTTGAGTCAGACACAGAGGGGGAAAAAAGAGTTAACAAGAAGAAGGAGAGCAGCTGTGACCAGTTAGTGAATGAACAGTAATTTATACAAATCTGACCTACTTTGTGGAATTATAAAAACATCTCATATTTCAGTGTATGAATGTACAGCGTCTGTACATGCTGATGATCCACCTCCCAGAACACTGATTTCATATGGTGCTAGAGACTGGGTACAAACATCTACGTCACCAAATGAAATCAGTTTCTGAGTGCAGTCCTCCGGTTTTATACACAGTGCATTGTGCTTGAGACACGCAATACAAGACATGTTGGATACAGAAGAAGAGATATTTGATATTGTGTCACATGGAGTGGTCAGCCTCCTGCTGCAAAGTGGATGCAGATGTAGGTCAAAAGTGTTGTTTGAGGAAGGAGGATGCCCTGTGTTTGCTCCTCTTGCTGCACGATGACCCATTCTACAAACCAACAGCAGAGGGTGTGGTTACATGGAAAGCCAGAGCCAAACCAGTGACCCAGTGGAAGATTATTTAAAGTGAACCTCAAAGGGATATTTTTGTGAAGACCATCTTGGAGGGAACCCCCCTCGTGTATCCTGGTACTCCACCTAAAGAGACCAAACTCACACAAACATACATCATAGTAAAACAATCATGTAAAGTTTATATTGTACATCAGGATACTTCTGGGGAAAAAGTCATTTTTGCTTGAGATGACATTTTAGCATTGAACATTAAGAGTGTTTCTGAAGAAATCATTTGTCGTTTTGGGAAATGTACTGATTAACTTTCTTGCTTAAGATAATATGAGAAGATTGATACCACTTTCATGTTTTAAGCTTCACATGAAGCTACAGCAAGCAGCTAGTTAGCCTAAAAAATGGCATACGTTCCTTTAAAAATAAACTTCCGTCTTCACAGGAATCTACTCAGTTAGGTTAACTAATGAGATTTGGACGGAGCCAAGCTAGCTGTGTCTTCCTGTATCCAGTCTTAATGCTAAGCTAAGCTAACCAGCTATTGGCTGTAGCTTCCTGTTGAACAGACACAACTAAGAGTGATATCAATCTTCTCCTCTGATTCTCGGAAAAAAGTGAACAAGCTTGAATCCCAAAATGTGAAGCTATTGCTCTATGAGCAGAAGGTGCTGGAAAAACCATCAAACTGAATTGATGGAGAAGCAGGATGGACGCCTCAATGCTCCTCTCATGTCATGACCGGGAAATACATCAGTCATCATCTTACAAGGACAAATCCTCCATTCAGGTAAGCCATATAGGGTTAAACAGGTGTCAAATAAGGGGTTATGACATTGCTGGTGTATATAAATTACCGCCTTAATATGAAAAAGAAGAAGAAGAGGTAGCAGGACGAAAGAGAAGTGAACACAAATGCATTATTGTCTGAGCTATAGAAATTCTGTTGACATTAAATGTGCAACATAAAGGTACCAGGTCTAATAATAATGCTATGACTCATGTTTGTTTCCAGATGGCTTCATTTGAACAGGAGCTGAAGGGGGTGAAGGTTTATCTTATGACACACTGTTCATCACACCTCCTCTTCCCCTTCCTTCCCACCACGTTCATGGGCCAAATCCCATCTAAGTAAACATAAAAGTGACATGCAGTGACAAAAAAATAAAAATAAATCATGTGCCCATTCAAGGAGAAGGTTCGTCGTGGTGCAATCTTTGCCACGTCACATCAAAACAGCCCTGGATGAGTTAAGTGAGAGGAATATAAACTCTAACCTCCTCTGGGTTTGATGGTTTGATGGCTCTGCATCACCAAACTGGGACCACGACTGAGCCACAGCTAAATGAGAGAGGCCTCAAGAGGCATCCGAAGAAACTGTGGTCATCAATTTATCTCTCATCACCCCAAATATTTTTGTCTGGAGTCATCAAGCGTCCAAGAATTCAGAGCAGGAATGAGTCAGTTGAAGAGTCACGGAGGGAGATATGATGTTTGCAATCTAACGATCCCCTGAGCTCCTCTTGAAGGTGGTGTGTCTCTCGTTGCATCCTCATGCTCGTGTCGCACTGAATGCTCCTCAGCATGCTTCAGTGAGTTCAAAGCTAGGGCGAGCAGAGCAATTATGCTTCTTGGCGGAAGGAAAAACCACTATGAATATGTACAATCATGTGCTCGTGAGGCAGCGAGATGCGGAAGGAAGGAGTGAATCTAGTGGAAAGGTCTCCTATTCATCATAACATAAACATGGAGGCTTGTTGACCCAAGCAAAGGATAATTGACATTCAGGTTCCTGAAGTATTTATTGAAGAATTTGAGCAGTTTTAAGTTCAGCAGGTGTGGGAAACCTGAGTCAGCCAGACCTTTGGGTGACTTAAAACAATTATTTGAAGCATTTACCCTCCAAGACAGCACTTAATGTTTTGCAGCAAAGCAGAAACAATTACTGCTGGACCATGGTGAGAGGATTTACTTCCAAAGAAATGCATTTTCTTGCTATTGTGACATGCAGACACATATTAATGTCATCATAGAAGTCCTGCTTCCTTCAAGTAGTTCAACATTTTGGGAAATACACCTATTTGCTTTCTTGCCGAGAGTTATGTAAAAAGATTGATACCGCTCTCACATAAATATGAAGATATGGCGAGCGGCTGGTTAGCTTAGCTTAGCATAATGACTGGAAACAGCAGGTAGCCCGGCTCTCTCTCTGAAGCTCGATCTCGATCTTATCTTGTTTGTTTAATCCGTCCAAAAGCAAAGTGTGTTGTGGTTTTAGTGAGCTTCAAAGGACAGAGCCGGGCTAGCTGTTTCCCCCTGTTTCCAGGCTTTATGCTAAGCTAAGCTAACCGGCTGCTGGTTGTAGCTTCATGAAATGGACAGTGGTATCAGTGGTATCTCAACAAGGAAACAAATATTTCGTTAAGGGCAGTGTGAATCTCCAGGAAGCTGTTAGGATCAGAAACCCAACCCAAACTGTCTTACAGGACAATAAACTAAAGTCAATCATCTCCTTGTCCACATAGTCTATGATGTCAACACTCAAACTCAGATGTGCATCATTTAAGGCAATCAACCTTGTGACAGATGAGTCAAAGAAAATACTTCCTGGGCTTTTGAAGAGGCAGCGTCGGACACATCTCTTGTTCATGATATCATACACCTGTCTCAGCACGGTGATTTTGATGTATGAAGACAAGTGCATAAGAGAAGCAGAAACTGAATTACTTATGTCAAAATATGGAA